AGGGGTTTGTCAAGTCTCGACATTGCAAAGCGACTATGGGTCACCAAGCATCATCTCCACAACATGCTTTTGGGAAAATGACTGAGTTTTGGATTTCCTCGGAATACAAAGGTGTTTCTAGTCCACGTGGAGATCAATGACCTGCTCCCTTGTGTCCATATAATATACACCACCACTGAATGCCCTCTGCAGGAGAAAAGGGCGAGTTTAGTGGAGCGAAATCAGACCCAGTTTTCACGGTAATCAATAGCGGACTCGTAAGATTCAAGGGTTTGGAATATTCGACTGGGCTTAAATGGATGTTGTTGAAAAATGGCCTCAAAAGTGCGTAGTGAGTTAATTGGATTTTTGGGAGCCACATGAATCTAGATCAGCTAGTTCTCAATGGATAAACTAGTCTGGATTTGATATCACGAACTCGGAGGTCTTCAAGCGACGAGTGTCCCTTTTTTCCTGAAGGAAGTTCCCCATCACGTTACTGACATTTCAGCGACTTTGTAAGTAGTTTCCTTGATGAGAATATTCCGCGAGATCACGAACTTAAACATGAGGCCCCAGTTTGTGCATCACATTCAGTCGTAGAAGAGTATCATAAACGAGAGGTTCGGCAGGAATCCTTCCGTAAAAACCAAGTCGGCATACAAATAGTGGTGTATTTGATGAATAGCTCTTGTTTGGTTACTTGAGCCATCGTTAAATTCGGATTTTCGATGTTTCCGATATGCATGCTTCCACAAAACGAATAAAGCCGGGACATCTAGCAATTGGGGACATTTCGTTTCTCCCAATGAATGTCGCTTGTTGAGTTCCGGACGTTTTTCGAGGAAAAAAAGAAAAAAAGCGTTCAGCTGTAGCACCCTTCCGGTGCATAGCTACCATGCCACCCGAAGGTTGCACGAGGGCTGGGATACTGCCAGGTTGCCCAAGCCTAGACAGGGGAAGTCGAGTGGCAGAGGTCGGATTCGAACCACGGACATTCCGGTCAGTGAATTCGGGCTCTAACCACTTGGGCCATCTCGCCTCCCCTCGTTTTTCGAAGGGGACTAGGTCTCAGCCCAGAATGACCGGTTGCCAAGGCGATGGGAATCACCAAGCTTCACAGAACGGAAAATGTAGAACCGTTTGGCGTGTAGATGGCGGTTTTAGATCAGTCAAATGGACGCGGCTACGTGGTATTACAACAGGTCCATGAGTGATGCGTTTAGCAAGCTGAAAAGTCTCCAGTCGTATGTAACCGGTGAACCTTGGTTTTCAAACTCTATGCCATAGAACTTTCTATTTACACCTGCCATCGTTTGAATCACACATCGTCATCGGATGGAAGGCCACCAAACTTACATCCATTGCACTGTCTCCGTTTTCCCTTGTGAGGCCGACGTGCATCGGCTTGTTCTACCGCTGAAAGTGGACAGATTGGCCGCGAAGCATCAATCACGATTGCAAATGAGTGTGGTATGCTTCAAAAAGCTTTTCTTTTCTCGCTTTAGACCAGCTTCCCACATCTTGCCGCAAAATAATCACGTCAGTATTCAAATTCAGTTCCGGAGACAAAATATCTTGGCGTACTTGCCGGCAGTTATCAGGCGCTATCGGAATTATGGCTGGAACTCGCACTTTCCGGCATAGATGCTCATATCCAATCGTCCATTCTTCTCACAGAGTGTTTAAGTAAAGCACATGCCAGTTGGGTTTTTTCATTCTGACCAGCGAGTAGAAAATAGGCCTCATTGAAATGCAACCCTACAGAAGTTAGGGTGAGGCGAAAAACAGAATGGTAGTTTCAACAAAATCGCAGGAAATGCAAATTAACTTCTAGTCTAGAGTTTGACGGTTCCTCAGGCAAAACACATTTCAATTGATTCGTATTTGAAAGTTTGCTCTGACTGTCATAACCTCGTTTTCGAATGGAGTGCACCCACTTTCACCGCGTTTGAAATAAAGGCCGGACAATGACCAACCCCACACAGAAGCATTCAGAAAACCAATATCAATTGGAGAGTCTACTGCCGATTTAGCCCATTCTAGAGCTCATCTACTGGGCTTGGCTCCCGTATCCTACTTTATCTTGTGCCAGAAGCAGGTTGGTTGACAACTGAGTGTTTATGTGTGGAGAATAAGGGTGATGGAAATTTTGGAACTAAGCCTACCTGATGAGCTCCAATAAGGATTTAATTAGTAAGTAAGTAAGTAGTAAGTAGTAATGAAACATACTTCGATGTCCTGAGTACCATACCTGCTGAAAATCGTTCAGCTGTAGAACCCTTTCGGTGTTTATCGGCCACGTCACCCGAAGGAAGCACGAGGGCTTGGATACTGCCGCGTCGAGATGCAGGCCAGTAAATTCTCGCTCTAACCACTGAGCAATCTCGCCCCCTGAAAGCGTAGCATAAGGCGGCCAATGTGTAGCGCATTCAGTTGAATGGTAGGATGAGAACGCAAAGCTCAAGCGACGTTCAGCTTAGTCTTTTGCGAACACCAAGTTATTCTGAAAATGGGTGGAAGTTTGGAAGGGAGGAGTGGATAATTTGCTGTAGGAACGAGGAACCCACGGGGTAGGTGGACCGTTCTGCTGGGAGATGAATGAATACGTACTTAGACCGCTGACGAAACACTTCAAATGGGTTTGGAACATACTGTGTGAGGCAAAAATTTGCTTGCTTTGCAGAACCACACGTTCCGTTTTAACACCTTTGTAAGAACAATGTCCTACCGGCGTCAGCTCGTGTTCTGATGTAACAAAGCCACCTTCCCAAAGGAGTAACATGTCGACTGTCTGGACCAATTGGGTTACTTTGCCCGCAGTAGTCAAAATATCACCCCTCAAACAACTTGTCTGGGATTCAGGTTCACCAGCCTACTAAAGGAGGCTCACAAATGTCTTTCGACCTAAGCAGAAGGTCCGACACCACAAGAATGCGGTACTTCTGAATTCTTGTTACGTTTTCTGGCCGAAATAAATGAACGGTATTCCGCGTATTGGCCAAAAGTACGGAACCAGGGGTCGTTCATTTTTGAACCATATTCAAGGTAAATTCAAAGGCATTGTGCACCATTCTTGTTTTCTTTTCAGGATCACTTCGTATGGACGAAATTATTGGCAAAAGCGTGCGACCGCTAACACATGGAATGGGAATGGACCATTCAGTTCAGTGGTAAAGAATCAATAAATAGCGTTTTTTGTGTGATTTTGGTCAAAAAGGACCTAAATATACGGTTGTTTGAGAATTCGACCATCGAAGCTAATCTCATTATGCGTATTGGTGTACTTCACTGAATTAGAGGCACTCCTGTCTGTCCGCATTGACGGATGCCACGGAATAAGGCATCCGTTCGTAGCAAAAGTGAACTGCTATCGGGAGCTAGTTAAACGTTGGTGTACTCTGTGTGACAGCGGGGCACCGCAAAACTAAGGTGGAATGTGGACGCTGAAAGGAGTGTAGATGAGGAGGAATCATATTGGGTTCGCAAATGCAAAATTCATCAGCTGGTTAGATTTCGAGAATTAAAATACCAGGAACAAGGAGGATATCGAAGTTGTTTGCTTAGAAGTGTCGGCAAAAACGATACTGTATGCAGTAGGCCCTAAAGACTCCTGAATAAGTAACATTGTTGCACTATCCAATAGTCCCACCCTTGTGTGTAACAGACAAATAGGTTTCTAGATTCGTAATAACGGTAGTGCTCACTACCCGGGCCGATCCATCCAATCACTAGCGTTCTTAGCAAAGCAAGCACCAAGAATGCGTCATCGTCATCATCACCAACAGCATGACATCAGTGTTCAACACTGACGCTTCATTGCCGTAGTCATGATTGTACGAGGGCTGGGATGCTGCCATGGCGCCCACACCTAGACAGGAGGACGAATAGGGTCCTCAACCAAAGCATTTGGCTCAAAAGCTTAACCGCAAGGCAGCGGTGTTTGGCGGGAAATGCAAATGCATCACCGTTTCTACGGAACAAGTCGCCAGATGTTCCAACCCCAACCCGGAGGGCCAGGTGACTGTGTTCGTCAGACCTCTAATCATTGATCAACCTGATATGAGAGACTCTGTGAGTGTCACCGGGACATTCCCCAGTATAACTCAGTGGATCGCTGAGGTGCGCGAACCGTCACATCATGGTAAGGTCCAGTCTCTTCGTGATAACACCAAGAATGCACGTTAAATACATTAGATCCCCCAAAAACGCTTCATTGCCGTAGTCATGATTGTACGAGGGCTGGGATGCTGCCATGGCGCCCACACCTAGACAGGAGGACGAATAGGGTCCTCAACCAAAGCATTTGGCTCAAAAGCTTAACCGCAAGGCAGCGGTGTTTGGCGGGAAATGCAAATGCATCACCGTTTCTACGGAACAAGTCGCCAGATGTTCCAACCCCAACCCGGAGGGCCAGGTGACTGTGTTCGTCAGACCTCTAATCATTGATCAACCTGATATGAGAGACTCTGTGAGTGTCACCGGGACATTCCCCAGTATAACTCAGTGGATCGCTGAGGTGCGCGAACCGTCACATCATGGTAAGGTCCAGTCTCTTCGTGATAGCACCAAGAATGCACGTTAAATACATTAGATCCCTCAAAAAACCAGGCCAAAAACACTTCCAGAGCATCGTACTTAACGTGTACACGGCAACGACACTGTTGGAATTTAGGTGCCTTCAGGAAGGGGCAGTGTGCGGACACTGAATCATGATTGGCTGCTGAATTTAAACTTTCGGCCAATCAGAGCTAACCTTGATGCTGGAACGGCAAGTCGCTTGATCTGCTGGCCAATCGAGTGGGTCCTCGGCATCCTGGTTATAGCACGGCCTAGTGGCGGGCAGAAAAGCGGTTCTGATGTACAAGTCCGCCTAAGAAGGCTGTAAACTGTTTTTTGTGAATCCACCCGTATAATCAGCCTAGAATTTTCGTGGAATTCACTTGATCAGATTTGAACCTGTTGAGTCTGATTTTTTGTCTTGTGGTGGAGATGACACACCTACATACCCATGTGTAAGTTTGCTCTTTGGGTTCGTGGAAAGTAGATGTGGGGTTTTAGTGAACGCTCAGGCGATATTAACTCCAAATATCGCATTTCAGCGTATCGAACCAGCAGGACAAAATGTCAGTCTGTTTCGAGAGTAACCTGGATGGAGCTGTGAAACAGTTTTACGGAGACTGGATCAAACGAATAAAAAAGTCATCGATAGTCTGAAGAACGTGTACCAATAAGGAAGGAGAAGAGAGACGAAATTACTGACGATTCCTACTTTGAGTAGAAATCGATCTGAGACATTATAAAAGGTTGCGGCTCATCCGGACATCAAAAGTACACGTTACCCTGACCGACAATGTAGCAATAGGTCTCAAACAATGTGTCAGGTAAGGTTGACATCTAGGTGACGAACGCTCAGATGACCTTCATACACACAAACTAAAGATCGTAAGTACACGTACCCTGACCGACAATGTACAATAGGTCTCAAACAATGTGGTCAGGTAAGGTTGACATCTAGGTGACGAACGCTCAGATGACATTCATGCACACAAATTAAAGATCGTTTTTTTGCCGAGTAGTGAATACAGTTAGTTACAACGGCTTTCTGCATATTCGAATTAGATGACAACAAAATCGGACTTGACTACACACGTTTGAGGTCACAACACACTCATTTCAATTCTGAAATAATTGGGATTCGGTAATTGGCCATAAGGCCTTTAGAAAAGTGCTTTACAGCAAGTGGAATTAATTCTGTAGTAGAAGATCACGAATAATCCTCTCTGGTGTGTTTTCGTGGTTTCCCTCTCTCTCCCTCTCTCGCTGTTTTGGAGAGTTTAAAGTACATTCCTGTTACAGAGTGCCTTCATTTGATTCTGAGGAGTCAGTTGATAGGAGATCTTACCGTAGTTGTGTACAACAGTTGATGAAATGTCCATCCACTCCCAAAATGTCCATAGATGGACTAGCGTTCAGAAATCTTGTGTCTCTCCTAAGTGTTGTCCAAAGCGGACAACTCTAACTTGTTCCCTGAACAAGGCCCCACAGATTCGGCTGCCTACCGATTCACGTTACATCGCTGTTGACGTCCCAGTCTGTTCAACAGAGTGGATCAGTAAGGAAGGCGTTTTGATGAGAGCTTAACTAAAACTCTACAACATCCCAACATCTTCTAGAGGAAGCTTAACGGAAAGTTTAATCAAACTGCTGCGGCACACCGTTCAATTATTGGATCCCATCATGCAAGACAAACCAGTGGGATGAGGTTCGACTGCTCTCTTTTTGAATGTGACACACACTTGCCTATCAGCATGCCAGCCAGTGTGACAAGATACCAAGCCATGGCTGTACAATCACATCGGTCCGTCTGCATCATATCGATGTGGTAGAATAATGCTCAAGGGTCAAGGTTCAACGAGCCCTTTATATGGGGTAGCTAGCCTAGGAAGAACAAAAAAGAAAGCGCGTCCTACCCAATTCGAGAGAAGTGGGCATCTGTGGAGATAGTGAGCATGCATGTTTAAGCTCTGTCGAATCAACCAACGAGCGCGGTCAGCAATGGCATTGTGGATTAGATGCACACAGCTGTTTTGTCATTTCTAAGATGATCCTGCTAACTCATTATACTAATAAAATAACCGCGTCGCCACAACAGAATGAAAACCGGGATAATTGGACAAGTTGTTTGATCAAGGTCATCCTCTTTTCCTTGAGGCACGGAAGGACATAGTCAAATAGATGTTGCTAACGGTAAGGAAACTACTCACAAGGTTGCTGAAAACTGTTCGACAGTTCACGACCGGTTTCACCCTTCTTGGGGCTCACCTGGTAGGCGCAGTCCCCGGGTTTCCACTTGAACCCAAATTGGACTGTTTTCGAGGAATACACTAATCTGCAAATCAATTTGGTTTTCAGTCGAATCCTCGTTCACGATATTCTACAACTGAATGTGCTGCACACAGGCCGCCACATGTTTCAGTTGGCACGATATTCGAGATATCGCAGTATATTTTCATAAAGGAAACTACTCACAAGTTTATTGTTCATAAGCGAGTTGATCAAATATGATCACAGCAAGAAAAGGTATTCGAATCTGTGTGATTACAGGTGTGTATGATAGTGCAATGTAGGTGTATCGATTCTTGTATCAAAACTGACCTTTGATTCTGACGTTATTACTGATCGAGTAGAAGGCTCATGGTGAATAACTGAATGGTGGGAGAAAAACAAGGTGGTTCATGTGAGGTGGTACCATTTTGAACGACTTTCTCAATCGCAGTACGCATCAACGGAGTGAAGGACAAACAAAGCGTAGACAACAGAAGTAGAAATCCAAAATTCTAATTCGACTAGGAAAGATGAACCATGTGAAACCGATCCACGTGGGCCAGGGTGGAGGTAGCTTCTGATTCAAGACCTGGTCTAAATCGTACAACCAGCAAAGCTCCAAGGTGTGTGAGCAAATGGGATTTCACACCTGTGGTAACAGTTTTCAAAGACTGAAGAAATGCCACTCCGTTGACGATGGTTGGTAAGATGGGAGCAGCTTTCCAGCCAAGTGTGGAATGACGGTTACTGTCAGGACGCGCCCAGACATGGAAAAAGTACATGTGCAGAGAGTGATGTATCCCCAAGGTCACCATCGGTACGACACGTTCGGAAAGCAGGTGCGTTGGCGGAGTTCACCAAGCACGACTTAGCAACATAAGACCAGTGGAGTGGGGCTGAAAATGTTCACAACCGGAACACCGCCATCGGCTGTATAGAACAAACAAGTGAACGACCATGTTTGGCCATTTAGTCATCTTGTATATTTACGCAGAAGCTTTGTATGTTTTGTCCCGGTAATACAGCTGTGTCCCGAGTTCTCTGCCTTCCCATCGCGTAGTCTGGCAGGCTGGGTGCAGGCGTAACCAATGGACGGCCACCCACGATGCAACAGTTACTGTTACAACCGATCCAGCGCCTAGTGCCGGAAAAGCAGACAAGGAGCACAACAGCTTTAGTACAAACAAGCGAAGGTGTGTGAAGGTGCGATGGCTTCGCGCCATATATTGACGGCTGTCTCGCAATGTCTGACTTTGATCCAGGGCTGTCTGATCGGCGTTTAGTGGCGTCTGACAGTTACTGGATTGCGTCAAACAGTCAAAAGTTTATTCGTAATGCACTACTCATAAGGTTGCTGAAAATTCGTCGGCAGCCCACGACCGGTTTCGCCCTTCTTGGGTCTCATCAGGCAGGTGCAGTCCCCGAGTTTCTGTCAGACTTACGTTCTACGTGTGTTCAACATATGTTCTACTTGTACAAATGCGTGTATTTCGCCCGCCAAATGTTTATTTTAGAACACGTTATTTTATCCATACCTCCAACCTCACTCCATTTCACCTATTTGGTCGTTAAGGGGCGGGAAACATTTCAGCAGCATCAACTGTGGTGGCCGAAACATGCACGCAGAAACGTCGTCATCGGAGATGAGTGTTGTTCTCCAAGCCTCCCGCAGAATGGTGTGAACACTGTGTGACCTGGCGAAGGGGTATGATGAAACTCACCAACGATCTGGGTACATTTAGTGCGCTCCGCCTTCCAGGATGGAGTCCCATCCTATGCTTGGCTGGAGACATGTCAAGAAATGGCGGCTGATCGATATCATTGGCGTTCGTGCTATCACTTTCTTTTCAGATTGCCTTATCAAACCCATGGATGTGTAGGCACCTCAGTCTCAGAATTGGCGTTGCTGTCTCTGATGATGATGATGATGATGATGATGATGATGAAACTTGGCAGATGGGCAGAAACGAACATTCCGATATCTCCAAGTTTTGTTTTTTCTGATCGCTTACTTCACTCACCTAAGGATAGCGAGCTTACATTGCAGGATATTCATCAAACCGATGATTAATTATCTCCATGCTAGTTGTGTTTTTTGAAAGCTACAGTGGTGCGAACGCGCAACCACCAACATCAAAAGCGAAGGAATAACGTGTACCGAAATCTTTTGTTCATGAACTGGACTAGTATCGTATCTTACGAGTGCAGAAAATGTTGCCTGAAAAAGTCATACTTCCAGCGGATGGCCAAATGTTTTTGCATAAACAGTTTTGGGGTTTTGATGTGAATTGGATGATTAAATACCGTTTTTCGCCGGCTTACGTAAGACCGCTCCATTTGAACCATTGATGTTGCATCACAATTACATTCTATCGCACGGGTTACCATACGAATCCACACGAAAGCCCCGGGGTTACAATAGACCGAGAGATATGCCGAAACCTGCCATATACTCTACACTAATTGGTGGGGGGGACTAAACTGACTCCAGCTAAATCTTTCGTTTATGATGGAAAGTTCTCAGCAACCCTGTGAGTAGTATGTCTAGACACACGGCAAACTGTTTTGGTACATTGCGGAATCCATGAACGAGACTGATGCCAGGATAAGGAAAGTGAGTGCGAGAGTGTTTTGACCAGGGAGTTGTTTCACTCTTTTTTTTGTAAATTTTTTTGGCGCCACATAGACTGCGAGATGTTTGCGAGAAAAACACATGCGTCTTGCACTTGAGTACGAAGGCGGTTAGTGGTTGACCTTCGATGCCTCCGGAGCATTGGACGGGTTTTGATAGGAATATCGGATTAGCAATACTGAGGTGAGTTTCAAGAAAAAAGAATTCTCCTACGACGGATGAGTTACCCACGCCCATAAATAGGCCACGCGGATTAGAACGCGCACTCCGCATACCAGAGGACGTTGATTCACCTTTCGCAAAGTTCTGTGCTGAGTGGAAGCGACTGGGAGTTGGACAGTCTGTGACCTGACAACAAAGTATGACCGCTTAGTCGGGTTGACGAGTACCGCTTCCCTGGATGGGGACCTCAGTGCTCAACAAACCAGTGGTTACTGACAGAAATGACTCAATCGCGCAGTCGGGGGCAGCAGTGCGTCGTGCGTATTCCTGGCAAATGGTTTATAGCTGATAAAACTGGAATCAGGTAACATGTTTCCTTTTTATCCAACTTGTTCAGACCCCCCCTTCTAAAATAAATATATTATCATTCGTATACCACAAGCACGTAGGTTCCAAGCATTTGTGAGGATAAACCGAAATGTACCGTAATTCGATTATTTTATTCGATCGGCCAGTCCACAGTCACAGGCAAAGTATAACTACATTCCTCGCACGGTTATTCAGCGTCTTAACTAAGGAACACAATGAGCAACGCTGCTCATTATCTGCTTCGGACTGCTGCAGGGTTGGGTTTCAAGAAAGTCTGTTCAGGGTGTCTTACAGGATGTCCCGATGATCGGTCAATCAAAAGGACATTCGGTTTAACAACAAAGTGTGGGTGTTCGTGACATCTCACCGAGAACCCGAAACCGATATGGGCCCAAGTGAATCCAAAGGCAGACATTACGCAGAACAGTTGGTTGGAGGTGACCAATGTCCAACTGCCATGCTACCCGAAGGAAGCATGAGGGCTGGGATACTGCCAGGTTGCCCAAGCCTAGACAGAGGAAGTCGAGAGGCAAAGGGCGGGTTCCGAACGGCGGCTTTCCGGTCAGTAAATTCGCGCTCCAACCACTTGGACCATCTCACCCCAAGACGAGCAGTTCATTGGGGATATCGCTTAAAAACTCCGTATGCATAGGACTGATCTATCCGACATCTACTACTGTCTGGATGGCCCTTGAGCAGATTACCGGGTTCATGGGCAGATCACACATGCAGGCTAAACGTGTTGTGACAGCTGAAGGACCACCACTCGAGCAGTGGACGAGAAACATACTTTCTGTCAAACGAAAAATGTCATGCGGTCAAATGTGACCCACAGAGGCAGTCGCTTGGTGATCTTTCAGTTCAAAGGTTCCCCCGTAGGACTCATGGATTGCGGTCAGTGGATGAGGAGCGCATCCAAATGTTTATTTATATCACAAATAAAGGCATTCTTATATTTGCCAAAAATTCTTTCTGTGTCTCGTGACCAAGCGGACAAACTTAATCAAACACCGTGTTCAATTATCTAGGTTATCATACTAGAAGTTGATGTGGTCATGTGACTGCTGTAGCACTGGAAATTGAGAGTACTCGCCAATTCACATCAGTGATCAATAAGCATGCTAATCACGCCAGTCGGGCAATTGGACGGAGCCTAAGCATGGATGTTCCACTTGGTCCAGCAACAGTACGCGCTCCCCACCGATATAGCTGGTACGGGTGCGGATCAGAAAGCCATCAGCTTGACCATTCACGCGTCATCACTTGGTCCGACGATAAAGTACCTTTTTTAAAATCTTGTTCTGCTCAAGTAGCCGTGTTGGTATAGTAAACTCAGGGAAAAATTTGTTAACCGAACCGATGTGGACATTCCACTCGGGTTCATTCGGTCCCCCCGTATGGTGTTTGAGTTAATGGGAGCCGGTCAAAGTGTTCTGCAAAGAATTCAGCCCATTGTTTGTCACGAATAAACTGAGGTACCATACTCTTCGAATAATCGGTGGCAGATACAACCAGTGTACGATAAGTATGCGGTTATTACAGCTGACAATGATGATGATGCTGATGACTATTCGAAGTTTGTTTCAGTAACACTTGTTTTTCTCGGACGAGTTGATCGGACTAGCTGGACCAGTGGGCGATTTTCTCCGACCGAAGAACCTCTCTCCATATTTTTGTCACTTAATTACCGTAGCTTTCTGTCAATCCTTAGGTCTTTCGCTATTCGGCGGTTGAAGGATCTGCGCGCTACCGTCTGTTGCTGGTGTGCCTTTCCTGGGATCAACGAAGGATACGGACAGTGATGAAGTCCAGTGTTCATTGGATTGTGCAAGCAACCACTGGAAGACTGTTTCAAAATCTGTGAGGATGGCCTATTTGATATTCTAACTAGTCACCATCTGAATATCTGTTAACATCTGCCCGCTGAGCTCCGGTAGCTTTCTGCTAACTTAGTTCGATATTTTTGGGTCACAAACGCGGTTTTTAGGTGCTGAACGAAGTCACCTGGAATAAATCAGCGTTTCAAGATGGAAAGCCAGCGCGATGCCGTGATCGAAGTCAACCGGTGTACTCCAGAATGAGTGACAATTTTGTATCGAAGCGCTCCATCACTAGCTGATTGCTACCTGGTCCAACTGAGTTCATGGCTGTCTATGCACTTGGCGCGCTCCAACTCACACACTGTGAACGCTTGTGCAGAAAGTTTGTGCTCGCTAGGACTAAGTGATTTTCAACACATCACTGGAGAAGCGGTGAGCGTCGACCCCGAATCGGTCGCTAATGTGGGCTTCCCCGAAACACAGTCGGCCAACAAAAGCATTCATATCAGAATCACGATATCTGTACTCCTCGCAGCCAGAAGCAATCGTGACAAATCTCGGCAGCAGCTGTCATTCTCAGCATCAGAGCTGCCGTTTGCCGGAGCGTAATCCAATCCGCTTTTCCTCTAGGAGACGCAGCGTCGTTGCTCTTACAGCTAAAGAAAATGCTGGCCGCCTGAAGGAAACATCTTACCGCTTCCACAGTCCTGTCGCGGAGTGTAGTAAACCCTTTACTCCAAGCCACCTCGTAAAACGGCTTCCTGCAGTTTTTCGTTTGATTCCTCTCATTTAGTCTTTCTGCTACTAGTGAATATTGAGAAACTGAATTCCAGCTAATGTAACCCGTAGAATCATTGCAGCACTGAAGCCCGAGCACCACGACAACGTGAGTCAAGATGTTTAAACAAAAGAACTCGAAAAATTGCACGATACAACGGAACGAAAAATCCTTTAGTTGCAGATGCGCTTCCAAAGTACGGGCTGTTTTGTTGTGTGGCTGTGAGACCTTGCTTATTCGAGCAGCGGAACTGAGACGTCTTCAGGTGCTCGAC